AAACTGAAAAATCTCCAGGTTAGTATAATACGCTCGGGGATGGCGTCCAGATGTCGTCGACTCCAAATCTTGTAGCCCCATCCCTAACGTTCTTAATTACACGGCCCCGATAGTTACATGTACACTCCTTGTCTTTTTACAAGCGTTTTTCTACGGGCGCGCATTTACTGCCAGCCAGCCAGCCAGCCAGCCAGCCAGCCAGCCAGCCAAAGTGAGATTAAAAGCTACTTTTTACAAAAAAAAATTTTTGCAAAAATGCGCTAAAAATTGTTGATTCACTTTTTTGTATTGCTGCCTGCCTGTTCGTCTGTTTGTCCGTCTGTGTGTCCGTGTGCACGACAACCTTGTGTAGAAACGTCCGATCGTTTTGAGAATTGATACACATGTTCTTCAGGATATAAGAGAGCGATTCGGCTACGTAGACCAACAGGACAAAATGGGGGGATATGAAATCAACCCCTTAAGGTATATTGTAAAAATTGTGTATGTGTAAAAAACTCGAGGATCGTTCGGTATTCAGTTGTATCGGATTTTTGTAGTTGTAAATTCATTTTTTGAAGCCAAGAGAGTTTTCATCCCATTGTACAGCCACTAAGGAAATGCCAATGTTTCTGATACTACTAGAGATCAATCGTACACCCCGCTGGACCTAGCCCCACCATTGTGAATCAATTTAAGAATGGTATCCAATTTATGAGCTATTTAGGAGCTTATCTATAGCAAAGCTTAAAATTTTAGAGCTCGCTTTAATCACTAGGAACCGAACATTTCTTATGGGGTGGCCGAGTCTACTTGGACCCCCCACTGATCAGAATTACTTTTTTCAAATTAAATTTTGTACTGGAATTACGAGCTATTTAAGAGATTAACAAGTAATTTCGATTTTTGAGCGCCACTCTTAAAAGAGCAAATAGATATAATCGATGGAGCGGCCAGCTCCACTTGGACGTATCGTATCCCCTCCTCTGTTATCGTTTACTTATTTCAAATTAATTTTTATGCATGAATTAAAAGTTATTTAAGAGCTTTCATTTACAAGTAATTTCAATTTTCACGTTCATGAAAATATTTGTGTTCTGAGGTCAAAATTGCTTTTTGTAGGAAGATTCCCAACATTTTTTATAGATTATTTCCAGAAAAACTTCAAAGAGGATTAGTATGTTTTTAGGAAGAAGAAGTTTCAGTCGTGTGTCCAGGGTTTTACAAGCATTTCAAACAGTTAGAATTAAATGTTTGAAACTCTTAACATTTCCACGAAGGTTTCGCGTAATAGAACATTTCTGAAATTTCTTCAGTCGTTTATTTAAGCATTCTAGGAAGATTCTAAAGATGTTCTGAACAGGAAAGGAAATAAAGGAAGACATTAAAATCTTCAGGCAGACCTAGTAATTTTGTGGTTCTATTTCTTATTTCAAGATAGTTTTCACCCTCTTGTACGGCCTCTAAGGGAATGTCAATTTGTTTGGTAATGCCTATACTAATCGTACCCTTCTAATAAGAATAATTATAATTTAAAACCATTTTTGTACGAGTATTAGATGAATGCTTTTAGACTAGAAGGGCAGATTTTATCCGCTTAGGTGTTCATCGAATGCTATTTTTATCTCATAGTAGAAATTAGAAAGTCCAACACTAATTTTGAGGTTGTAATGAGGAGGGTAATACTGAAGACCAATCGTACCTTCATATGAAAGAATAAAAATTTGAAACCTTTTTTTGCGGGAATTAGATGAACTTTTTTTGACTTAAACAGAAGATTTTATCCCTTGAGGCGTTCAAGTGGCATTTTTTTAATGCTGGAAGTCAATCGCAACCGTCTAGAATTAGAATTTAAAATATTAATTGTGCGATTGTAAATTAAATTTGTTAATTCGAGGGGGTTAACGTTTTGGGTCATCCTGTCACACTTACGTATAAAAGTACATAGTGAACATTAATAATTTTTTTATTTTATAGAGGTTCAATTGACATTTTAATAGGTTTGAAAAGTACGCTAAGTCGCTCTTTAACGGTTAGGGTAGATAAAGTGAAACAGATGATTTTGCATTTTAATGACACCCGTCATTCTTATTTCAAATAAGACGCGCAGCGCGATATAAAATAACGGTCAGAATAGATGACAATGCTGTTTCTATGGGTACGACCGCGATGGCAGAACCTAAGCTTGCCATATTTGTTTTTATTTTTTCAGAAATGGTAGAAAAAGAGCGGTTTTTGGGCAAACTGGCGGTTCAACTTGTTTTTTCTCTGAAATTTTCTTATGGAAAGTGTGGTTTTGTTTATATCAGTTATGTCAAGTGTGCAGTGCAGCTGCAGTTGTATGTCCCCTAAGGTTTTGAGCGGGTTCTTATTAAACACCTATAGAAACTTAAAAAGATATTGGTCACGTGGTCTAGATCATGGTCGTTTGGTCGCCATATTTAAAAAAGGCCGCTACGTTGCTAGATTTTTGTTGTTTATGAATATTTTCCCACACACGGGCTTGATTTAAATTTTTTAAAGAAGGATTTACTGACTTCTTGAAGCCAAAGAACATGAATCCATTTATAGCATTGCAAATAACTTCGTTTTATGTGAAGACAGATTGATCTTGCAAATCTTGAAAGTTTCGTAATTTCTTATGATGAAACTGATGGATTATTAGTATAGTTTAAGCCAAGTGCCCGAACCAAAAACTCTTCTGCCTTTTTTTCCATGTCTTCATTTAGTGGTTCTTTGCCAAATTTTAACAAGAGGTCTTCGGCACACGATTCTGCCACTTTTAAAGCTACTACCTTTGTTCTGACTTAAAGTTAAAGAATGAGTGGCAGATAAAGCTGTTAAGCAGCAAGTGGTACTCTGCCATCAACGGTGTAAGGTGGAATATACCGCGATGTTTTTTCTAATCTAAAGGCAACGTAAAGCTCTTTAAGTCCTAAATTTTTCCGCTTCTGCTGGTAGTGATTGAATATACAGTAACAAGAACATCAGTGTCGGTAGAACAAATAACCATATTCCTTACTTTTAAAGTCAGCATCATGTGGGTTACGATTTTGTCGCCTGCTTCTTTATGATCAGATTCCGACGTACGTTCTTCTGCAACTATACTATTCTGTATAGTAAAACTAAAACATCTTAGCTGACCATATTTAACTGCACCACCAAGAGAAATGGGAACATATGCAGTGACAGAATCTTTTACCCAATCCACAAAGAAGCCTTCACCAAGTGGATTTATTAATAAAAAAACGGAATGTATAGGTATCTTACAAACTTGGATTTACCAAACAATTTGTAATTACAAATCTCGTTTGCCTTCAAAAAATCAGTAAAACTTACTTTAAAAAATTAAAATTGGACCATTGTGTAGGGATATATACCTACCACGTGAGGGCCATTTTTAAATACATCCACCAAACGACCATGATCTGGACTACGTTCCCAAATTTTTAATACTCCCCGCAATAAAGGGGCTGCATACGTGACATGGGTTAAGCTCGTAGACAAAGTGGAAATGTAGTTTCGGCTGCCCAGAGCTATAATTTGTTTAGTGGGGTGCTATTTGAAATTTTAAAAAAATACATTTGGCGAAGGTAAATTTAATTTTTTTCGTTGAAGTACTAAAAAAATTATGTGATTTTGATTCTCACAAAAAAAATTTAAAAAAAACTTCAACATTTGAGGAAAAAAGGTCCAGGGGTTCTTAGATGCTTAACCCTGTAATTAATACTCCCTAACAAAATAAATTGTTTCTTGTGAAAGCCGGAGTATTTTCAGAATTTGGTAAATAAGACCTCAGTTGAGGAATGTATGTCAATCTCAGTTTTGAAGATGCGAAAACCTAAATTCTTTAAATTCAGAAATGGAAAATTGTGTAATAATTTCATCCGTATACCTAAAATGTATGGTTTTTATAGAAAATGTATGCTGTCATTGTCGTACATTTTTAATTTTCCCTCGGTTTACATTTAACAGACCTATCAAAGAAGGAAACAGGCGTTACATATTGGGTAACTGGTAAGTCACAGTCTCATCTCAAAATACTTAGCTCCTTTTCGATTATGCGTATCGTGATTTACCAAATTTAGTCTGAAAAACATTCCACTTAAAGTAACGGAGCGTGAATCAACATCCAGTAAAACAGGAAGCTACCCAAGGTATTTTTCATCAGTCTGGTTCATCCATAACCCCCTCAATAATTTATTCGCATTAGTTTCCTATACATTAGCCACTATTTAAAGCCTACAAATTAGTTAGGTAAACATTAAACCCACCTCCTCGAATTTCATACGTTGTGGAAAATGCAACATGAACAAATGTCCCAAATCTTTCGTGTAAAAGCTACATCTCAACAGTGGTCGATACTGCGCTTCCTCGTAATTTTTTTCTCGCATAAAAAATGGAACTACCTTAATTTTCAAACAAAATTTTGTATGGCATTCTTATATCCAGGAAGCGAATTTCTATAAGCTATTCCGAATTGAAACTTGCACGAACTACGTTACACTGAAACTCGGTGCTTTTGCAAAAATTTTTACATTTGTTTGTCTTTTGCAGGATATCATACCATTCTGGCTTCAGATTTTTACAATTAGACCCATAGTTTTTAGTATCTTTAGCCTTTGGTAAAGGATCGGTGGCTTTTAAGAAATTTAATTGAATGATTTTCAACATTAAATCATTAAAAATACGTCAGACTGATACTATCAATAGATCATTCATAATTTTCGGAATTAAGGCGTAAGCGGCCCCATCCGATTGAGTGGTTGACTTTGAAGGCAATGAATTTGCAACAAAACAAAATAATGCTGAATAAGCAGAAGCCTTCAGGTGAAGATTGACGTTGATAAGCTTGATCGGAGAATTAGTTTCTGTTTTTTTTTAATTGTTACGCATTATCGTGGTTCAGGTTTACGTCACTTTTTTTAAATAAAATGCCAATACTGCTATTTTGCCTTTCTTCATTAATATTAAAATAAACAATTCCTCATAGGTACTGGTTTTGTGGAAAAAAATTATAGTTGCTAGCAAAATTTTGTTTATTAAAAAATACCTTACAATTTAACTTAATCGAGAAAGCTAAGAGCTAATTAAACTAAAATCTTAAAAATACCCCCAGAAATCATAGAAGCTGATATCACAGATGAAATATACAAAATGATCACTTTACAGGTTGCCACTCAATAAAACTTATCACATAGCTTTACTTTGAGCGTTGTAAAACTACGAAAACTACATCGGCAACGGTGAACAATTTACAAAGTGCTCTTAAAAACTAATTTACATGCAACGTATTTACAAACAATTGACACTAGGCGGCCTATTTTCTTTTTATTTACAACGTGCTAAATTAACATTTAAAGCTCGCGATCACAGACTAATAACTTAAGTTAAAGCTTGAGCAACTACTTCATGTGCTTTTTATTTACAAAACTACAGTGGAAGACGACGATTTCCTAAGCTAATATCACATTTGCACTATCCTAAAACTTACATACGTAAAGAAGCTTTGAGTTCGTTACAGATGTTTTCGTTAACCTCATTGTCGGCGGTCGACGTTTCGCTACCCTTGGAAAGCTCCTCGAATTTGCTCCAATAGCGGTTGAGATTGACGCGTGCTGATTTGATAACCTTCCGCGAGAGTCTAGGCTTAATTGGCTGCAAAGAAGAAAAAAACGGGTCGTTAGCGGTGCACTTGTTTAAAAAAAGGCGAGTGATATCAACGCAAGGTTAAGCTACAAACCCGGTTTCTATATCTAGATCTACATACCTGTCTAAGTTGACGCCATGGTGACCTGGGCGACTTTGGTTTTGTTGTTGCGTAGTTGTTCAAACACATCTTGTTGAAAAAAAAACGGTTGAAAGCGAGAGCCGTGTAACGGGTAACGTGTTTTACAGCTGTGTGATCGGAATCAAAGTGTGCTCAGCACATGCAGGTAACCATTTTATAGGCAGAGAAGGAACTACCTGTCCTGTGTTTTCGAGCCGCACGTTTAGCGCGCGCTATACACGCGCGAGGCGCGCGCAGCTTAAGGCGATAGAGCCCATTGTTCAGAAAAATCACCCCTAACGGCAGTGCGCCTTATTGCCGCCTACAATAAGTCCCACCAGCATGAAATGAATTGAATTTCCTGAATTTCTTCAATGAGTCATCAATAGGTCCAGTACAGATACAAAAGTTGTTTCTTAATACAAAGCCTTCGAAGTCAATCAGAACTACTTCACCAGCTTTTTTTGTTTCGACCGTGTTTATTATACTGCTGAAGCCCGGTAGCCGTTTATAAATGACTGCTTGGTTAGACAAGGTCTGCCGTCTCTTTTACTTCAGCTGAAAGGACGAGGAAGAAGAAGGACAACCATCGCCGCTATTAAGCTACGATAATTTCAAAGATGACTTTTTATGTTGTATACAAAATTGTTTTCGTCTTCGAACCCGACACGTCGCTGTTGTTCATTTCGAATTAAATGGCCTTTTTTTGAGTAATGGGAACGTTCACCTATCGTCTGATGAGTGTTGGACATTTGAAATATTAACCCTTGGCGTATACGGTACTTTGGCTATTTCCGTTTAAACGAGTTTGCATCTCGTCTTAAAGCACAAAAAAGGAGGAAATCGCTTATAATATAATTAATAAAAATGTATACGTTAAACTTGAAATTAAAATACCTGCAGCGTATATAAAAACGCAAAAAGTTGGATATTGGGATAAACCCTTGCACGTGTGTGCGTGTGTGACAAGAGTGCGAGAATGCCAGGTGCAAGTTTGGTGTGGGAAAGAGTACCACGATGAGGTTCCCAGGGTCCATCAGCACCTGCCACCCTGGTCTAGCTAGTAGGTCGTGACGTAGCCACTTGGCGCGAACAGCATCAATGCACATTTACTTAGGGGTTGCGGGGGGGAATAAAGGGCGCGAGTTTGTCGTGTGTACGAAGCGAAAGGGTTGCTTTCGGGCACACTCTTCGCGCACTTTCGCATACGTTTCTGTGAGGTATCTTAGAAAGTGTTTTGAACTTTTTTTTAACAAACGCAATTAAGATTAAATCCTTCAATAAATCTGTAATAAATTCTGAAATCTACATTAATTAGCAAATTATAGCGCCTGCACATTTGTATCCTCATAAATATTCAACAACTACTAAGTCCATATGCCATACGTAGGCAGTCGGATAACAGCGATTACTCTCGAACTTACGTGGGAAAATCGGGCAGGTGTTAGTATCGTAGTTTGCAACTACTTTTCTGTATACTGTTTGGAATATCTTAAAGGCACGTCCAGATTTTTAATTTAAACGATTGACGGATCCATTGTTTTTTTTAATCCATGGAGTTCCTCAAGGCTCCCCATAGTAGCATGTCTTATTGTCTATGACCCGTCCATTGCAGCCCGAACACTTTTATAGCACCGGTTCTACAGGCGCAATCAAACTAAATTACGCTTAATTAATTTTTTCCGTCCACAGGCCATCAAACCCAAAATTGTATTTCAACAATTTTCGTACAAGCCTGACCGTTGAAAAAAAAGAAAATAAAGCAATAAAAATAGATATCAGTAATCCGGTAGCTTAATAGCGGATCCAGATAAGCGATTAAGAAACACCTGTCTAGAATTCTCACGGTCTTCTCATCTCTAAATGATGCTCGCGCCTTCTTCGAGCAAAAAAAAACAAGTGCATCGCAACGTCTTACATCATGTGACGGTTTAAATTTTAAAAGGGCCCTTTTTTGTGGACGGCTAAGGGGGTGGGTTTTACTGCATCAGTTGCTCTTTCCCACATAAACATAAAGGAAATTAACTTGTTATAGTGATTTTTTGTACGCAACGCCACCTGCAGGTTCTGAATTTGTATTAGCTTGGGCGGACAGATTTTTATACCTGAACGTTTCCGCAAAACTTTTACAATCTCGGAATTGTTTTACAGCGCTTAGTAATTGTCGCGCCAATAAAATTTTATGCCCGAATCTCAGCATGGCGTTTATTAAAATCTCGCAGAAATTATAATTATAACCAAGTAACGGATTCGTTACCTTAATAAACGTTTGCACTTTTATCGCCTGATTCCTACACTCGCGAGGGCACTGCCGCACGGTAACTGCCCTTCAATCTCGGAAATGCGGAAGTTATAATCAAATCGGGAACAATGCGGGATGGAATAGCCAATGAGGGAATCCGGAAGAGGGTCGGAAGTACAGTTGACATTCGCACGTGCTTGTTTATTCTTTGACTTACGCGTAATGTGGGTTAGTAGGGGAGAATCCCTGTTAACATCTGCTGATTACATCATTTCAAAGGGGTTAGTCAACCTGTTCGGTTAACTTCTCTGAATAGTTAACGGTAAACACATTTAAAGGGGTACCATTTCCGTTCGACTAGTAATCTAGATGAATCTCAAGGTTTCAAGGTAGTGAAAAATAGTTCTTTTAATCCTTTAGGGTGTTTCTCAAAATACCACAAAAATCCAGTCCTCTTTGGGTACAACATTCAGCGAGCCGACAGATTTTTATGAGATCGTCAAGTAGTACAAAAGAAATAGTTTATAATTTAGTAAGCACAATGAAAATAGATTGGTCCCGTTAAAAGGACTTATACGATTGTAAGTAGGGTAATTTTTTGTCTCTCATCAGAATATCACTGAGCCTTGAACTCGTAGAAATCGATTGGCGAAGGTTTGTCATCTGCGTCTCTTTTTGTTCTCGAGTAAGACGAGACAGACAGACGGGCGTCGGGCAGATGGACAGACGGCTAAAACCATCACATAAGGAAAATTCCACCAAAAAGTACTTTTACTGTTCACATCGAAATTCAAAAATAATAGACGAATTACTTACATCTGTTTATCAAAAGAATATACATTTAGTGCCCTCAGATTCAGTTGAGTCTCAATTATAGAAATACAGGAACAGGTAATTTATTTAAAAAGAACGTTTCTGAAAGAAATTTCACATTACGCAGCCTGAGCATTTATAAATAAAAAATGTTTATACACTATATAATTATCCGATTATCGACTGGATCGAGGATTGAGAAATGCTTTAAATCGCCGTAAAATTGGAGACTCCGGGGAAAATTTAGAGGATAACGAATTTCTTAGTATTTGTTGCTGCCTCTTTGTGCAACTTTTTACCAGCGCAAAATGTATTGAACACAGTTAAAATATCACTGACATCCGACTGATTTCTGAAAAAAAGGAGAGAGAACACATCCTCTCCTCGGGTCACTCCTTCAATACCAACTCCGATTGTCAAATTCTCCATAGTTAAACAAAGACTCATTGCTTAACATGCTTGAAATACAAACTATTAATAAGTACAAGAACGACCCTGGTTTAGTCAATGAAATCATAGACTTCCCTGCTGATTTGTTGTGTACGAAATTTTAATAATTTAGTTCTAGGTAATTTGTTTATCTTAGTTGGTTTTTAAGTTCGTAATTCCCACTTAGTGTAATTTTCAAATGTTCACATAATCTGTCTTACAAAAAACACCACGTTGTTAGACGTTTCTTCCTGTTAAGCTGTGGTCCGCTTTGGGGCCTCCCTTTTAATTTAATTATGTTATAATTAGATTTGTTTGTTGTCCTTCAGACACAACAACCAGAAAAATGTTTTGAAATTTAAATGTGCCGTCTTAAACTTAATTAATTTTTTACATCACTTTTTCCTCTTGGTAAGTTTCACTCATGATTGAGTTCAGGGGCGGACTGGCACGGGGGGGGGGGGCAGGTGGCGATTGCCTGTAGCCTGTAGATCATAATGGCCCGTTGGAAATTTATAAGTACGTGCTGTATTTAGTTTCTTGCACTATTAATAAATTATTAACACACGTTTCTCTAATTGGGGTTGATGTTAGGTTGTTAAAAAATTCTGTTTTAATTGAAGCGTTTTACAATGAATTTCTCATTTTTTGTCCCAGTATTTTGAAAGTGCTGAAATACAAATAGGCGACGCACCTCGTGTGGATTGTATATTTTGTTACTTTTAATTATCAGCTGCAATTAAAAAAAAAAACTGTATGGTAATTGATTTTCGAGAAAGGAGTACTTTAAAATGTTTTTGTGGTGCACCTCAGAGCTACCCCCCCCCCCCCGGCGCCTTCATTACTACACTAATACTTTAATGGCCCGTAAGTACCCAGTCCGCCTCCTGTGTATAACCATCCTTTTTTTTTACCAAAATTTCTCGGGAAAACACTTTCTTATTAATTTGGGTGCGTAGAATCCAAATCAATTCGTACTTTTTCGATCAGACTTCTCAATCAAAAGTTATAGACTAGAAACCAATTTCGAAAAAAAATTCAAAGGGCTGTAACTTTTGAACTAGTAGCCCAATCTTGGAACTGTTTGAAATTATGGATTCTACAGGCCACATTCTATAAGAAAATTTTTTTTCCGGGTCGATCTGAGACAATTTTTATTCGGGGCTCAAAAAAAGGCAGTGTATAACCTTCCTTTTTTACCAAAAATCGACTACACCAAAATTTCTCGGGAAAACACTTTTTCTTATTAATTTTGGTGCGTAGAATCCAAAACAATTCGTACTTTTTCGATCAGACTTCTCAATCAAAAGTTATAGACTAGAAACCAATTTCGAAAGAAAATTCAAAGGGCTGTAACTTTTGAACTAGTAGCCCAATCTTGGAACTGTTTGAAATATGGATTCTACAGGCCACATTCTATAAGAAATTTTTTTTCCGGATCGATCTGAGACAATTTTTTTTTCGGGGCTCAAAAAAAGGCAGTGTATAACCTTCCTTTTTTACCAAAAATCGACTGCACCAAAATTTCTCGGGAAAACACTTTTTCTTATTAATTTTGGTGCGTAGAATCCAAAACAATTCGTACTTTTTCGATCAGACTTTTCAATCAAAAGTTATAGACTAGAAAACAATTTCGAAAGAAAATTCAAAGGGCTGTAACTTTTGAAATAGTAGTCCAATCTGGGAACTGTTTGAAATTATG